TAGGGTCATGTTAAAGATATTGTGTATCGAACAAAGATATGGGACATCAGTAATCTAAAGCAGAAGATAAAAGATCACTGATGACATTGCCACCATTGGTGAGGCTATGTTACAGTGAACATGGCAAGAAATCGTATCCCGTCCTGATGTGCTTCGTGCAACTAATGGCGCCCATAGAGAGGTTCTATTAATTTAGTTTAAAAATAAAAAACTTCAATATCTACTTCTCATTTTGTAACAATTTCCACAAATATGTCTGTTCATTTTCTTTGGAATATTTTTTCAATTGTAAAAGAGATATAATATATATATATATATATATATATATATATATATATATATATATATATATATATATATATTATAAGGAACAGTATGATTTACAATCTTTCTTAGTAATTATTTTTATTTTTTTAAAAAAATAGTGCTCGATACAAAACAGTAGAGCTTAATTTTATAATTATTTTCAATTTTAAAATCGTGTTTCACACAGGAATTGCCATGTTTCAAACAGAAACTATAATTTTAAATTTAATTTTAAAATTAAATTTAAAATCCATAACTCCATTCAATTCTCAAACGATTTTTTGGAATAATCTTTTAAGAAATTTACATCATTTATAAGCACAGACAACCTTAATATTTTAAATTGTTAAGGTTACGGACAATTCAATCATTTCGATGAGGGGAGGTTGTGTTTTAATTTCCCTGGACAACTTATGAATCAAATATAAGTTACTTTCAAAATCAGGTTAAATTAAGGTTGGGTAGGGGTTCCTGCGCACAAACAATGACAATGTGTGTGTGTGTTTGTGTGTGTATAAAGAGATAATCATATATCTCATCTTTGTCGTCATCTTTGTCGTCATATTTATTACAACGTTTCGGCCGTTGTACGCGTCGGCCTTCTTAGTGCGGTTGGAATGTCAAACTGAACCCTTATTTCGCTCACTGGGGTAGACTGTTCAAGTTCCACGTGCCATGTTTAATGGATGTCAGTTATCAGTTATCACCTGTTAATTTCCCTCTGAAAGTTCTCCACTGCCTTAGTCGGGTATTGAACGCACACTTTTGGGTCCTGTCACTGGATCTAACTAAGGCCTTTATCCACTGTGCCATGAGTCATTGAGTATATAGACGGATACAGATGAATTGGAAGAAGAGGGACAGTTGTATACCCACCTAGATCACCAGATTTGACACCTTGGAATTTCTTTTTGTGGGGGTTTCTAAAAGACAAAGTTTACAGCAGGAAACCTGAAACAATTGCTGAAATGAGAGTAGCAATTGAAGAAGAATGTGCTCAAATACCAGAGGAAATGATACTAGACGTTTGTAGGTCTATTTCTTCAAGATATGAAAAGTGTATTGAACAGAATGGCAACCATTTTGAGCACTTAATGTGATTTCATCATTATATGAACATTCTACGATTGCCCCAAGTAGCTTTTATCTTATTAAAGTTAATTTTCTATGTTTTTTGTATATTTTACTCTCAAATTCTTTAAATGTGTATTCTTTCTTTTGTATTAATCTTATTTACAAGTAAAAATACATAAATTGAATAAGTTATAACGATTCAAAGAGTGTATACATGATTTTGGGACATCCTGTATAATTAATGTGGAGAAACTTATCACTTAACTGAGTGGTGTTGATTCGGTCAGGACGACTTCGAAGTTTCGTGAGCGCATTGTACTAATACTTTCACTCTTCAGGGTTGTCGTCCTATCGGCATTTACCAGAGACCTCACCCCAAGGCAGGGTGTGGCACAAAGCCGAGTTTTTTTTTTTTTTTTACATGGGGCTTTTCGATCCCGCAGGCTGGGCAAAAATTCCCCGTAGACCCTGTAATAACGGAGTCGGTTTTGTCTACCTCTCCAGACGAAGGCAGAGAGTCCGACGGCCGTTGTCCTCTCTGCTGCTAATTCTCAATTTTGTCATATTTCTTGTATGGTTGAATGTAATTCGCTATCTTTGTATGGGTGCGTCATTTTCACTTAATAGGTGTGTGATATTGATATAATGGAATATGCGTACACCTGTGTTCCCCCCTCACCGGAATATGATTGGATGGTGTCCGTCATAAATACCGACGGACGTGTAGGTACGACAGAGTCAGAGAGCCTTAGTCTGAGAGCTAAGTCTATAACGACGCCCATTGGACTACGCCTTTGATCTACACTTCTTACCTGCGACTACGACGCGTACCAGTCGATTACTGCTACCGTATTCTACTTGGTTATAGTAGCCAAAACCACTTAGCTACTTCGTTCAAATATATCCCTTTCCGGGACATATCAGATATTCATTTAAGTAGTGCGGGGTGATTGTTTGCTTTGTATGGTGATGGCCTCTTTCTCACCGTATTTGCTTTTTATAGGATAGGTTCTTTTGTCATATTGAGTTGATATCAGCTTTCGTTTTGATGTATATATGTGCTTGTTTTTTATACATCGTGGTTAGGCTTAATTTTATTAACGACCTGTCTTTACCTTTTGATATATAGCACTTTATGACAAAGAACTGCCTGTCTAAAATACTTTTCCACTAGTAAACTAGAGAAGGAAAATCAGCAATTTTGGCAAAAAAAAAAAAAAAAATCAATACTGCATATATTTAAGTAATTCATCGAATCTAGAAGAATCCTTAACAGAATGCAGAAAGCCCTGGACGGCTGCTTCGTCCCATTTTGGGACTCATCAGCAGTGCGCATTCACTGCTGAGACTCGAACGCGAAACGTTACGACATGACTCAAGCGTCATACACACTGGACCAACGGACCTTGATGACGTCGAGGTAACAAATTAGACTCGATACAGCGCCGCTCTTCACAAATTCCGTCGTATAACGTCTTTTATCCCCCAACCGCTCCATCCCAAACATTAGAACCCGGTTCAAGTAAGTATATATAAAGTGATAGAAATTATTAAAGGGATTTGAATAATCATAATTAAGTAATTCACCGAGTCTAGATAAATCCTCAACAGAATGAAGAAAGCACTGGATGGCCGTTTCGTCCTATTTTGGGACTTACCAGAATTGTGCATCCACTACCAATACGACGCAAGCGTCATATCCACTAGGTATATATATATATATATATATATATATATATATATATATATATATAGTAGTAGTAATCTTATAAGTGTAAGAAACTATACTCGTTCGGAAAACCTTCGGTGTCTTGGTTTGCGAATAATCAAACCAATACCAAAGGGAAAAAAGTATAAAAAAGAAAAAACCAAGAACATGTACGTTAGCCGAAAATAATCGTCTAGCATGCAAGTCCAAAGCCCAAAGAAAAAAAAGACCCGATACGAGTACGCAAAATAAGAAAATCGATACAGTAAGTAGAGCAGACCTAGTTAAACTTAGAGGGCCAGACAAACCTACCAAGGTTTCACCTAAGCGGATCGTCAGGGAAAGCCAGCCTTCCTGACGATCCGCTTAGATGAAACTGGTAGGTGTGTCTAACTCTCTAAAAATCCACACACACACACACACACACACACATATATATATATATATATATATATATATATATATATATATAAATAATACATATATATATATATATATATATATATATATATATATATATATATATATATATATATATATTCTTACTTTCGGACAATATGCATTGGATAAAAAGTTGAACAATTATTAATTTAAACTTAGCTACTACAAATTTTAATAGGTCAGTACATATTATATTAAAGAGGTATTTTTTTTTAGAATTTCGCAACCCAAAGTTAAGGGTGCGTATTATACACGAGTGCTTATTATATTATCATTTCTTGGCTTGTGTCCGCTGTAAACATTAATAGGCCATACGTTTTCCCCACCAATACCCTGGCGCATGCGTATTGCTCTCTTTTTAAATCGTTATGTAAGTACTTAGTAATGTGCCATCAAATCACACTTTATGGCCGGCAGTTGACATTGGGCAAGGCACCCAATTTGACGCTCGACTGACCCACACTACTTGTGGTATTTGATCGCTACAGCAGACATGGTTGGTGAAACAGTAGACTCCATTTTTCGATTCTACTTTCTCCATGACATATCACACCAATCTTTTTTCCCCTTTTCCTTCTTTTTTTTTTCTTTCTTTTTTTCGTAATGAGCTTATTTTTCACACGCAGACATTATTACCTACACAAGCGTACAAGTCCAGTGCAAGCGTACAGATCCGCGCATGCGTGATGCTTTAGTCTCACACGCTTGCAGACGACACCGACCATTTTTATTCTTTTCGCCGTGTTTCGCTTCGCCTCTTGTGGTCTTGGTAATGAACTCAGCCTAACATTTTTTTAGAAATTAATCGGGTAATGATTAAGAAGGGGGAAAAAAAAAATGAAGAAATCTTCAATAATTAACAACATAATTCATTGGTAAATGGGGAATGTTTTTTTTTTCTTTCTTTACTTGAGAGCGGGAAAAATATTCAGTGTGACTAGAATAAAAATTCTTTTTCTATATACAGTGTCTCTTAAATACGTGAATGATCGTGGCTCTTCACAATTTCCTGTCCTTTGTAGCTCTTAATAAATTAATTTCTTTTCTTTTTGCTATCTCTCCTAATCCCTGCTATACCAAATACTTACTCAAGGACGCTAGGTAAGGTATGCGATGCTTTTCCCCCGTCCCTGCGAGTGTCAATTTTTCTAAGCCCTCCTTCTTCATTGTGTGCGCAAGAAATTTTAACTGTCTCTTTCCATTTTCTCTAATAAAACTTTGTTGAATGTTCTCTTTAGCGGCATATCAACCATTGTGCCGAAATCTAAATACTTTCTACGTAATTTTATTTTGTTTTTTCGAGATAATAATTAATACACATCTTACTAATTAACCCATAACTGGGGGAGATGAGATGGATTCATACCTTTTCAAAAGGTATTTGCGCGTAAGTGAATATAACGAACCCAATTAGAATTGAAACTCAGCTCTCCGATTAACAATTATTAAACACACCACCTGCACATCCAAGCTTACAGTACCTGATATTCCCAAGCGGTCACCCATCTAGGTACTGACCAGGGTCGACGTTGCTTAACTTCGATGGGAACCGGTGTTTAATGTGACATGACTGTAGGCCAGAAAACTGTGTCATTGCTCGCGTGTTCAGTCCAACGCATTCTCAGAATCATTCTGTAGAACCATATTTCTTTTGCCACAAGTCATTCACTGGTATATAGGAGGACTGATATTACGTAACAGTAGTATATTCTTTGTTTTCCTGTATCTTAATGCTTTGCTTAGCTTTTGGAAGGCTTCTTCCGCTATCTCAGTTCTACTTCGGATTTCGGTGTCGTACATATTCGAAATTGTTGTGGATTCCGGGTTGAAATCCGGTACCAATAAATAACAAATGCCGGGAATGAATATATGAAAATAGTGTATTAACTTAATAATACAAACTGCTAATGCAAATTAGTAGTTCTAGGAATACGGGATTAGTAGCAAAATATCTATACAGTCTTTGGTATTGAAGTATCGCTGTATGACTTCTTACTGAGTCTACGTGCTCGCTCACTGTGACTCCTACAACGCTGTTACCTCACCCCTCACTCTTCCGGTTACCTACAACCTTTTACTCTGTCACTCTGGACGCGACTCTTCGGTCTTCCTCTCGGGTCTTCACGTAGCCGTAGTGTATGTATATACTGGGTGAGTCCATTTGTGTAAAAAGGAGAGAACCCCTCAACAGAAATATTTAATTCTTCTTACTTGCTTGATTTAATACTTGTCCATATTTTGTTTTGCATTTGTTCTTGAAATAAATTTTTTAAACGAAAGACACTTTTTAACTGTGCGTGTGTTATTGCAACCGTCATAGCTGAATGGTGGCTTTCTTTCCATAAAACTGATAACCTTTTCAATAGCTTTTCCAATTTCAGTCCAGGTTTCACCACATTCATCTAGTCTCTATCTTTTGGCAGATGTGTCTCGTTGTCATCTTCTCTTATATTCCGTGTATATTTGAACTATTTGTCGGCGTGAAATAACCCATTGAGATTGATATACCGTAAAACAAAATAAACTAAACCTGATCTATAAACTGATTTTTAAAAAATAATACATATTCTATTCATATGAACCTATCCTAAAAATGTTGTCGTCCTTAAATAACCCATTGAGGTGTTGATATACCGTAAAACAAAATAAAACAAACCTGAGACACTTTAGTTCTTGCACGTCAGTGGATACACAGTGGATAAAATGTGACAAGGCCTCATACAAAAATAAAAACGGAGGACATTGGGTAGACTGTTCTAGTTCCACGTTTGATGGATGTCAGTTACCTGTTATCTCCTGAACTGCCTTAACCGGGTATTGAACTCACACTCTTTGGGTATGACACTGCATCTAACCAACGCCTTTATCCACTAAGCCATGTGTCCTTGAGGACATCTGGGTATGAATTTCTGGGTATTATAAACCTAATGTCTTCAGCAACCATTTTTTTACCAGTGCTTATATTGCAATTTTGCTGTTATCATTCCATAATTTTACCACAGCTCATATTGCAGTCTACCCCAGTGATCGAAATAAAGGGTTCAGTTCGAAATTCCAACCACCTGAAGAAGGCCGGAGCGTACAACGGCCGAAACGTTGTGACAAATATGGCGACAAAGATGAGAACAATAGTCCGACTAATGTAAATACTGTACATAATACCTCATCTCAGAAATATAGACTCTGGAGGACATAATATTAGAACTGTTCTATCTGACCCTTTCATATTTAATTGATCTTGCATCAAACGATTATTACATTTATCGATTGCTGCAAAATGCTTCGATTTTTCTTTAGGAGATTGTATCTCTGATAAAAAAAAAGAAAGTAAATACAGTAGAATCTCTCATATCCGGAATCCCTCATATCCGGAATCCCTAATATCCGGAGTGCCTCATATCCGGAATCCCTCATATCCGGAATCCCTAATATCCGGAGTGCCTCATATCCGGAATACCTCATATCCGGAATACCGCATTTCCGGACATGATTTCGATGTGTATATTTGAACTATTTGGGTGATATGCAACCGATTCCTCTCTTCGTTAGTTCGCACGACCGTTACGCCCTGTCAGTGGCTCATAAATAATGGACTATTCCGTTTCGACAGCGTGAAAAGACGGAAATGACATATCAGAGACTCTATTTGGTTTTAGTGAAAAAATGAAAAAAAAAAAAAAAGAAGAGAAGATAGACGTATTTAACGGCTCCTGCCAATGCCTCAAAGATAACGGCCATTTCCAATTTGATAGTATGGATATACATATCAAAGACGCTACTTGGTTTCAGTAAGAAAGAAAAAAGAAGTGAAGATAGTATTTAAAATCTGTTTCAGTGAAATTTCAGATTTTTCAAGATTGTTGTTGCAATACAGTGGAATCCCTCAGATCCGGAATCCCTCAGATCCGGAATCCCTCAGATCCGGAATCCCTCACATCCGGAATCCCTCAGATCCGGACATGATTTTGATGTGTATATTTGAACTATTTGGGTGATATGTAATTGATTTGAAATTTCTGTTTTTCAAGAAAATTTACTTTGGATAATTGCTTATGCTTATTTCACCCCTAATGGCTTGGTGCAAAAGATGATGGGAATAAGAGATAAATAACAACTTTCGAGTTATCGCAAAAAGTGGAATTTTTAAACAGATTAGACGCTGGTGAAAGTTCATTGTAACTAATGGCTGAGTTCAACATAGGAAAGTCAACATTGTATGATATAAAATCTTCCAAAGAAACTATTCTCCAGCGTTCACATTGTCACAATGAACAAAGAAATAAAAAAAAAAAATGATTGTGATGAAACCTGGACTGACATTGAAAAAGCTATTGAAAAGGTTGTCAGTTTTATGGAAAGAAAGCCACCATTCACCTATGCCGATTGCACGCAGAGTTAAAAAGATTCTTTCGTTTTAAAAAATTCAAGAACAAAAGCAGAATGAAACGTGGAAAAAGTTGAGAATGACATTAGAAGAAAAAGAATCATCATGCAACCGCGATTAAAAAAAAATACTCGTTACATTATTTGTTTTGAGTACGTGACATACTTAATTTAATGAATTTTCATTAAAATTACATAATTTATTTCTTTTTCCTTCAAATCAATTTAGTTATATTTCACTCATCATTAGCTTATTTAGTTTACTATAAAACACTGAAAATAAATGTTAAACCTGATTTCAGTTCTTTTATTTTAACCTAAATATAACCCCTTATATTTGGTCATTGTAACCAATTCCTCATACCTGGAAAGACTTCCTAGTCCAGTTATCAACGAATTCTACTGTATATATATTGGATCCATGAAAGCAATATTATCGAAGAGACTTACATTGCATATGCCGGATTCAAGTTCTGTTGCACAACATTTAAAGGAACGTTCCTGTCCATGTTCATGTTTTAGAGAAATATTAATTGAAAATACAAGTATACTCCACCACGAAAATAAAAACAAAAATTCAAATTCTTAACGTCCCTATATATGAAAAATACAACCAACACTAATTAAGATTAATTATGCTTAAAAATGTCTATAACGGCAAGGTTTTAAAATACCTAAATGGAAATTTAAAAAATACAATGATAAAAGCAACGTTTTAAAATATTTACATTTAGAAATGGAAATTAAGTTACCTTCCTTAGATAACGCTAATTTTTGCATTATCAGAGCGCATTTCATGCGAATTTACAAAAAAAAATCACAACTATCAATTACATGAATATTTGTCTTAGCAATTCTTCCCTGAAGATGATATTGGATAAAATAAAAAATAATTGTTTGTACGGAAAATAAGGACCTACGCACATCAAACTGCCTTTAAATTAAGTGGTGGCAGAAGAATTAACATTTAAAAGGCAAGCTTGACTATTAATGCAATACTTAAATGCAGCAATTATTTGAATTCTTCTGTAGTTAAATCAGATTTCAGTTCTTTAATTTTAATCTAAATATAACCTCTCATATCCGAACTTTGTAACCAATTCCTCATATCCGGAAGACATTCTTAGTCCGGTTGTCTGGGATTCTACTGTATAAAGAAACATCAACAATCAGATTTTTTCGTTTTAATGTCACTCATATCCGGAATCCCTCATATCCGGAATCCCTCATATCCGGGTTTTGTAACCAATTCCTCATATCCGGAAGGCATTCTTAGTCCAGTTGTCAGGAAATCTACTGTATAAAGAAATGTCAGCAATCAGCTTGTCTGTCTTAGTGTTCTTCATATCCGGAATCCCTCATATCCGGAATCCCTCATATCCGGACTTTGTAATCAATTCCTCATATCCGCAAGGAAGGCCTTCTTAGTCCGGTTGTCTGGGATTCTACTGTATAAACAAACATCAGCAATCAGCTTGTTAGTTTTAATGTCTCTCATAACCGGAATCCCTCATATTCAGAATCCCTCATATCCGGATTTTGTAACCAATGCCTCATATCCGGAAGGCCTTCTCAGTCTGGTTTGTCAAGGATTCTACTCTATAAAGAAACGTCAGCAATCAGCTTGTTCTTTTTAGTGTCCCTCATATCCGGAATCCCCCATATCCGGAATCCCACATATCCGGACTTTGTAACCAATCCCTCATATCCGGAAGTCCTTCTTTGTCGGCTGTCAGGGATTGTACTATATTCAGATTTCGGCATTAAATAAAACGTAGAGATTGAAATGCCGATAAACAATATCATTTAACTAACGCCAGTGAATGTAATTATCTTGACTGGAGTTCGAACTCTGCATTACGATTTCGCATTCGGAGTCGCTATCCTTTACTCCAGCCTCCATCCACGATTGTCATACGTTTATATAAAGCGAGGGAAAATATTTTAGCCACTGAATAATGACGCTTTTTGACACTCGTCCACCACAAGGAAAGTTGGCTTTGCATTTTCCCCGGAATCATCCTCAGATCCACCAACAATTCGCCCTTGCATGGAGTATTGCTGCCATTGGTCTGGAGCCCCTTCTGTTTTGCCTCTAGGCTCCAGTGGCGGATATGCAATATAATTGGCCCTGTTCAGTCACTTTCTCACAGACGCGCCGTCGCCTCTCTCTGTCT